GAATCCAGCCCCCTGAGCTGAGGTGAGGAGGGTGCCACGGCCTGGAGCTGCTGCTGGGGATGTGGGAATGTCTTCTCCAAAGTCATTCATGTTGTGCATTGTCCAGGTGCTCCATCCTGGGACAGGACAGGAAATTCCTGTACGGAGATGTGTGCAGCGTTACTGTTCCATACAGATCCCCTGGCAACTTTTGGAAGCTCTAAATTCCCTGGGGTTTTTTTGCCAGGTCACCCTTGCAGTCTGATGTCCCTTTTCATCCCACTGAGAGAACCCCTGTGCACATCGAGGACACAGAATATTCCTTTAAAAGGTAAGAGCGGGGTGAATTTAATGGGTGCAGGAAGAATCCTGAGGATTAAGGAGAACCTGAATGGGCAGGCACAGAAAGAGGCTCCTCATCCCGCTTTTATCCCAAGGATGGAGACAACTGAAACTGAAATAAACCAAGAGCTTTGTGTTGTATCCCTCTCCATCTCCTTTGAGACCAGACAGGTTTTTCCTCCTCTTGTGTTCTCCATGGGGTTCAGGCAGTCCCTTTTCATTCCCTGGTAATCCAGGGATGCTGCAGCAGCAGCACGGAGCTGGAAGCAGCTGGATACAGGGACATGGAGAGTCCTGGAGAAAAGCAGAGCAGTGCCAGGATCCACTTTTTAGGGATGTGATGGGTGTTGCTTTCCAGGTCTGTCCTGGGCTATGAGGAGAGGAGCAGCTCCATGAATCCTGAGGGCCCATCCTACCACCAGCCCTACTGGGATGAGACAAGGTAAGCACTGGGGGGACTGGGAGGTTTGGGACTGGAGATTTGGGATGTTTGGAATGGCTCTGGCCAAACTGGCTCCTGCTCCTCTCCAGGGAATGGGTGTCTGCCCATCCCAGCATGGATTTTCCCACTCCTGGCTCTCTGGTTTAGGCTCCTGGACTCATCCATCCTCAGTGAGAGGGGCCAAGGAGCTCCTGGCCATGACGCCCCCCCAGAGCCCCCCAGGCTGAAGGATCCCACTGAGCCCAGCAGGGCCGGGTAAGGAATGGGATATTCCCCCCAGCTTCTCCTGTGGGATGAGGGTCATTCCTTGGGCATCTCATCCCCTGCTGATAAATATCCCCCCAGGTTCTCCTTTCCATAGAACAAGCTGGAAAAGACCTTTGGGATCAAGTCCAAGCGTCAGCCAGCACCATCACCATGTTCAGCACCCATTCATGTCCCCAAGTGCCACATCCACACATTTCCTGAACCTTTCCAGGCCTTGACAATCCTTTCCATGCAGATTTTTTTCCCAATATCCAATCTAAACCTCCCCTAGTGAAACCTGAGACATTTTTGTGCCTGATTCTAGTGCTGCTTCTGCTGGATGACCCTTTTACCATGGTTTTACAGGAAAACCTGGGAGGAAATATCCTCCTTGGCTGAAGCCATCAAATCCTGTCCAGCTGGAGCTGCTTCCTAGACTTTAAATTTGGGTCTCTAGGGAGAGATAAATAAAGGGAGAGCAACAAAATTTGGCATTAGACATCATAGTCTGGTTTTGAACTTCCCCGCTCAGGGTGTGCACATGGAAGGACTTTATGGACTGGTTTCCTTTCTTTTGTCCATATTTTCCACCTGAATTGGAAGAGCTGAGGCTCTTGGTGAAACTGGGCTCCCTTCCAGGTGTGTCAGTGAGAGCATCTTGGAGTCAGGGGGTGACCAGAGCGTTCCTGTCCCCAGGTCTGAACTGTGCTCCCAGGACACTGCTGGCAGCAGGGACAGGGATGTGGGAATGTCATCCTGCCTGCAGAGGGAGGAAACCACGGCAGGAAGGCAAGAGAAATAATGGGGCTGCTTTTCCTGGTGGGGAATTTG